AACTAATTGAACGAAAATCGTTTTCAAGAATCGGTGCAAAACTGTGGAATGAGATACCAACGAAGCTCCGAACACTACCAAAATTCATCTTTAAAAGAAAAATTCGTACAATCTTGTTCAATATATTAGAATTAGAAGACTCCTACGAAGATTTAGAATCGATAATCTCTAAAGTTAGTAAATACTCTTAGTAGCTATCACCTTTGTCTCGCCCATTCTACCTGATAAATTTTACCTTATGTATTCACCTCTCACAACATAAAGCGCTGCCAACTTGAATTAACCACAGAGTTGCTCCCGTAGACTCAATTTGTTTTCGTAGTTACCATCTATATATTCATCTGTAGTTTTAACTGTGTGTATTTTCCTCTTCTTTTACTGATTATCCTGGCCCGCCTCGATTAGCACTGCTATCTGCGGAGCCAGGGGAATAAGGATTTATTGTTATTGTTATTGTTAAATAAACGTGTAAACGTGAAATAAACGTGTCTCACTATCAAGGCAATACATGGTTTTTCTGGACTCTCAACCCAGGACATTGTTTGTCGGCTGTCGAACAGCATTACATCGGGATTTAAATCTAACTTAAACTTCAATGCGATCGACTGGGTCTCAGTTCCCAATTCCTTCTACTTCGGGATCAATTTTTTTATCTTGTTCCTTATCAAATATTTTGAGAAAGCCCTGCCACTGTATATCAGTAAGTTGTTGATCTCGAACAAATCCTGAGAGGCGCAAGATATTACAGCTAAAGGAAAAATAGCGGCTGATATAGTCACTTGAGCCTCGTTATTTACGCGTCTTTGGAATTCATATGCTTTCCAGAAATCAAAATGGTGGCCATAATAACACAGGCCGCGATCCTTTTTCCTTAACTTCCGCCATACTTTCTTTTCATCTTTTCCTTTTCATCATCGTCTACTTTATGTGCTCCAAATTTATATTGTAATCTTTTTTCATTTGAGTTTTTTCTCCTTAAACCAAGGATTGTAAAAACCACGATTAAAATGACTGCCACCGTTAAACAGTGTTCTAAAATTGCTTTATATTGTTTAGACATCTTCTGGACCGTAATCTGTGACCATATGAGGGCTCCAGAATTCTACATTGCATCAGTAAACCAATGCTCCTGGAGAGCGCATCCTTGCAAGAGTCTTGAAGATTGTGAGAGAGGAAATTACGCAATATGCAATAGCGGATGCTCCTCAAAGGGATTTAGAGCCGACAAACCAAAGAGAACTGGCAGATTTTATTTGAAGACAACCAGCAACTCGTCATTTTGCTGTATGATGTTTTATATTTTGGCTATTGTTGCTCCGTCTTCTTTCAGATCCTTTCGTGAGACGCACCGTTATTCCAGCTTAGATTAGCAGTTAAAAACTGCCATTTTAAGTTGTCTGAATACTTTTAATGCATTTAACCGAAGATTCTGTCAATGGAGGTTTACCGTAATTGCCCTATGTTATCGTGTTCATTTCGCCGGAGCAGAATAGAGACCAAAATATGAAAATATGACAAACGAAAAAGGAATAGGACTATTATATGCAATCAAAATATTTTTTGGATCCTTAGGATTGCAACAAAGTGGAAAGGGTTGCTGACTGACGCCTTGATTAAAGAATCCACCATTTCAAGTCTACGGATTGATTGAGGATTAAATGTCTTCGTTTCCTTGATTTGTGTCTGAGTTTTGTTTTTCCTTGTTTGCCTTTTTCTTTTTTAAAACATAAGTCTTTACAAGTCTCTTTCGGCTATAGCTTTTGGAGAATTTTCGTCTTCGTTTGGTTTTGTCACCTGCCAAAGAGATAATTGAAAATGGCAAAAAGGACATTCCTGATTGTCCACCTCTCAAACGCAATAATAATAGGACTTATGCGCGATGACGTCAAAACAATTTCTCGCAGCATCAAACCGAGGCTTGGTGGTGACCGCTTCGCGTGTTTTGTTGGTGTTTAGAGAAAGAATCAATTCCACTTGTCTGTTTTTTAACTTTTTGTTCGAAATTCCTCAATGCTGTATTGCCTAGAGCTGTACAAACTCTTCAGACAAGAAAATCAAAAAGTCCTGGCATCGCTTACCGCAGGAGAACAAAGAGCTGCTTTCGAAATGGCTTGCAAAAACTCGGCGAACAAGCACTCGAGGCTATGTGGCGACCACTTTGAAGCCTACTAATTTAGGAAAATCCCGGGTTCCTTGCTTGTCAACTTGAAACCAGTGTCTATTCCCGCAAAGTTTTGCTTTGTGCAAGAAAAAAACACCGAGGAAACCTCCATCAGAGCGAAAATCGGTCGAACGAAAGTAGCCGAGTTCGTAAGTAAACACAGCCTTTGTTAATGACACAATCTGAAAACACAATCAAAAACAGTTTTTAACGTAAAAACCGATAAACGTGTGTTCGTCCACCGGCCACCACGCTTGATTAGGTCATTCCCCTTTTCGCATTCATTAGTTAGCATTAATAAGAGAACAAACAACATTCTGTGCGTGTTTCCCTTAATTCCTCATACATATATCCTGCAGTTAGCTACATCGCACTCAGTCTATACATGGCAGGAGAAGCAAATTATGTTTCTTTACTGCTCTTATATGCATTTGTTAAGTTGCAACTTTCAAGTTGCATTGTGGGCCAAACCAAATCTTGGTTTGTCCATTTCTTGATATAAGAAATAACATCGTAGTCAAAGTTTGATGACACACCCAATGATCACTCCTCCAGTGATAAAGGGTTTCTGAACCAGGCCAGTGTGTTACGTACAGGTACGGATACAGGGGGGGTGGATAGGGTGGATATCCACCCCCCCATTTTTCAGTAAAAAAAAATTCGAAATGTCACTTTATTTGAAATAGAAAATAAAGAAAGAAAGAAAAATTAGCTATCGCTCATGTCTGGTTGTTGTTACGCCACGTTTCGTCGTCTGCCGCCGCTTTTCGCGCAAAAGTTCGCAAGGAAGCTATTTGACAACGCCTAGTGAGGCGAAGTAAGTTTCTGATTGGCTCATTATTGCGAAATTTGTAGGGAAACGTTCGCGCTTACCAACCCATGTGCTCAGTCGATGCTCAGGTTTGATGGCAACCTCGTTCCCAGGGTCTTGTGGGTAATTTCCAAGATGGTTGGTCGACCCGCCATCTGCCATCCACCCCTCCTTTTGAAATCCTGGATCCGCCCCTGACGTAACATCTTCATGATAGATTGTCGAATGTGTCTCATCTTCCAACAATAAAGTATTGGATTCAAAGTCGAATTAAGGAATACAAGATATTTCGAGAAAGAGGTAAACACTTTTAACAGAACACTTGGACCGTTTAGTGCTTCGGCAATGTAACAAAATGCAGAAGGTTACAAATAACATACACCAAATACACCTAAAATATACTGACTATAGACTTTCGGAGGCCAGCAGTATTTACTAATTCACGACGCCGCGGTTCTTCGCATTGTACTTTCAGGGGCTATATCTGACTTTTATGGCGTTTTACAGCTAGATAAATCTTTATACATGCCACTGAGCTTAACAGGTGAAAGAAAATCGAGGGAATATAGATAAGTGGGTACGCAATGTGCGACGGAACCCAGAACCACGTCAGCGAAAGAAATGCACTCAGCATCCAATTGAAGATAACCACAACAACCACGTGGTTGTGAGTTACAAGTTCATGGTATCTTAAGTGAAGGTGAATGGCTAAGAACCGATCCAAACTGATAGCTGCAACGCCACTCAAAGAAGCCACGCAAAACAGTACTGATAAGGCATACATTGTCTTTAAGAAAAGACATCCAGGAGATTGTTGCAGTAACAGCTGAACACAACCTGAAGTATACAATGGCTGAGCAAATATACCAATGCAAACATCTGAAACAGCAAGACTCATTAGCAAAGTCCTCAGCATCCTCGGAGACCCAGGAGCTGTGAGTCGATTTCAAGTTAAGGGCAGAAGAGCCCGTGGGGACATTCTCTTACAAGACTGGTTCCAAACGGTCGCAGTCGTTCTGGCATCTGATTGGTGCCAGAAAATCTTTGTTTTTTTTTCTGCCCAATCAGAGTGAAGTGTGCTTTGGAGTCCTTTCGTGTGTTTTAATACGGACATATACAAGAAGCTCTGTTGCTCGCTGTGTTTGTTTGAGCCGTGCGACAAAGCTTTGACCGTGGTGAAAAGTGACAGTCTCAGCACACAATGTAAGAGAAATCGACCAGATCGTCCGCGAAATCTTACCGGTAATTATACTGAATACTTTCGCAGGTGTCACAAGAGAACGTGTTTAAAAGTTTGCTAGGTTCGTATAAAACATAATGGTTGCAGGCATTGATATGTC